TAAGTAATTATTAGGTATTTAAGAGTAATAATAGGAAGAAGAGTAGTAATAGTATAAATATAAATAAGAGTAAAAGTAATAATATTATAAGTAAGAATAATATAAATTATTATAATAATAGTAATAATAGCTACTAGACTAGTAGTATAAGGAAAAGCTATAATCTAAGTTATAATACTTAATTACCTAATAGTTAGGTATTAAGGGGGTAGCTAGGTATTATAATATTATTAAGATAATATTATTAATAGCCTCTTAGTATATAGCCTAGGCCTATATTATTCTTTATTAAGATATAAATAATAAATTAGAAAAAAAGAAATATATATTTACTATAAGTATAATAAAGTTTTAATTAATCTAACCTAGTACTATATAAATAGAACTACTAAAACTATTATTAGTATTATAGCCTTAAAGAACTATTACTATTATAGTATTAGTAATTAGAATAATAACTAGTATAATACCTAAGGTATTAAGTAAGGGTAGTATACTAGTTAGGTTTATATATATATTAGCTAGAGTACTAATAAAGTAGTCTTATATATATATTTATATAGCTATTAAAACTATATATTTATACCTTTTAATATATATAGTATTAGTTATTAGTATTATAATAGCCTTATTATTATTAATAAGTAATATTAAAGTATATATATAATAATATAAGTTAAGACTATTTATAAATAAGATAGACTTTTAAATATAAGACTAATAGCTTATAGTATAAGTAATATACTTACTATTAATATTTATAATATATTTAAATACTATTATTTAGTATAAGTATAGAAAATATATAATATAAAGAAAGTCTAGCTTATTACTAAATTAATACTCTTTATTATTAAAATCCCTTTATAAGGTATAGTTATAAATTATTTAATAGCCTTTTTTATATCCCTTTAGACTAGTATTATTATTAAGTAGTAATAATAAGGGTAGTATAATAGTAATAGCTAATATTATAAGGTTATTATTATTATAATTATAGGTTTTTATAAAGTTATTTAGGGTTTAAAAGAAAGTATTTTAAAGGTATAAAGTAATAAAGAGGTTATAAAATATAGAAAAATAAAGCTAGTTAGTAAAAAGAGTAAAAGATTTATTTATAAAAAAGAAAGCTAATTAAGTAAAGAAATATACCTTATTTTAAATATATTAATAATATAATATATATATAATATACTTTACTTAATAATAATAAGAAAATAATTTACTATACCTAGGTAATAACTAATAGTATTAGGAAGTTAAAATATAATATAACTAGCTATAGGTAGAGTAAGAGTAAGGCTAGTAAATACTAGCTATCTAGATAGCTAGGCCTAGAATAAAGGTAATTATAATATATAGGCTATTTAAAAGAATTTTTTAAATATAAAGGCTATAATAAAAAGTAAGTAAATTAAAGCTACTATAAAAACACTCTTTAGTAATATATATATAGGCTAATAAATATAGGCCCTAGGTAATAGCCTAGTATAGGTACTATATATATATTAATATATACTAGCTTAAGTAAGTAAGGTATAATAAGCCTATACTAGCTTAGGTAAGTATAATATATATAACTAGGGTAATAGAGAGAGAAGGGGGGTATATAAAGGAGTTAGGCTTAAGCCTACTCTAAACTAGGCTTAGCCTAAGGCTACTATAGGTATACCCTTAGTATACCCTCTTTATATACTAGAGTAGATAGATAGACTAGCTTTTCCTCCTTTCTTACTCTATAAGAGAGTTAATACTATTATAATACCTATCTATAAATACCTTAGGGCTAGTCCTTAATATTACTATAGTTATTAGAAATTAAAATAGTAAAGCTAAGGGTATTCTATTAATCTTATAAAGTATTAATTGCCTTTTTAAAGCTATAAAATTTATATTATTTAAGGTTATTAAGTAAAGATATTCTATTATTATTATTATTATTATAGAAGGAATAGGGGAATATAATAGTTATTATAACTAAGGGATAGTAGTGTTTTAAGGGCTAATACTTACTCTAGCTTCCTATTAGCTAAATTATCTACGCTAATATGGTGCTAGCTACTAGCGCTAAAAACTAGGCCTAAAGTAGTATAGTTATCCTATAAATTCCAAATTTTGTCCTGCAAATTTCGGTCCTCCTACATTCGCGCCCGGGCGTCTTGTACCAAACCATTCGCTGCTGCAGCCTCACAGATACTTTCATCTACGCCGCTATGGGGAGGAGGGCTAGGTATCACACATTTATGCCTAGATGCTGAGTTACGAACTGTGATCCAGAATTGTAAATCAGGTATAACTTGACATAGTTTGACATAGCTTTCGGGGTCTAACCAGGGTCAGATCAGCCAGTCAGAGGCCAGACCACGAGTGGGTGCCTCTTTAGCTAAAAAACGTGTGTAACGGCCTCTGGCTATGAGCCATACCTCGTGCACAGTCACAGCTTTTTCACCGTGTGACTGAGTCACACCGAGTCACAGCCGGCGCTCAAAAACTCAGCATCTAGGCATTAATTACCATGTGTGCCAGCAAACGAATGTTGGTGCTCTATCTTGCCTAATATATTACATAATCAACTGCGTTATGGCGTGGCTTTTCATCTAATAAATTTGCCATTTCTCGTCAAAAAGTTCATGTATATGATTTCTTATGCCTTCTAACCTGCATAATCCAATAAAACGACTTCATCTCCTTCCAACCTGCACAATCTAATAAAATGACTTTATCTCCCCCTATAGATCAATTTTAGGCCGTAGACGCTCTGCTTAAATACGTATATTTAGGCGTAATTAGCGCTATAAAGGGAATGTCTATCGATTACGCCCTAATACGTACTACGGATAGTACCTTTACCTTTTTAGTAGCGCTTAAGCCTCTTAACCATTTACTAGAATTTCTTAATAGCTCTAATCTCCTTATAGTTATCCTCTATAATAAGCATATTATAAAGACCTATATTAATATAGAGAGTAGTAATAAGGTATTCTTTTATAGTTAGTAAAATCTAATCTAATCTATTATTAATAAATACTTAGATAGTAGCTATATATTTATCCTTATAGTTATTAATACTATTTACTCTTTCTAAGCTAGAAATAGCCTACTAAAGCTAACCTTTAAGCTATTTATATATAGATATAAATAGCCCTCCTAGGGTAAAATATTAGTTAGGTTTAATAGTAAGGCTAATACTAGTATTAGTATTAAAAGTAGTTAGCTTACTAATCTAGTAAGGTAATAGAAGGGGTAGGTCTTAGTAAGCTTACTAAGCTAAGGTTATCTTATAGATAAGTTTAAGCCTATTAGTATAAGTTATATTAAAATAGACTTACTTTACTAAGACTCTAGGTATAAATTATATTATCTACCTTCTAAAACCTATAGACTACTAATACTCTATCTTACCTAGTATAGAATAGATAGTAGGTATAGGTATTATACTAGGTATACTATTATTATAAATAAACTTTATAAAAGTATCTATAGAAGTAATATTACTATAGAAGTATAGCTAGATAATATAAGTAATTTTAAGGTTATTAATAGTTACTTTATATAAAGTACTAAACCCCTTATCTATAAATCTACTTAAGGATATAATTTCTTAGCCTATTATAGCTAATATAGCTTCTTAGAGCTCCTTATCTATAATCTTAATCTTTTTTAGAGTTAATAGCTATCCACTTTATTAATTAATCTTAATCTAGTATCTATTATTAACTAGGAGCTCTATATAAGCGCTCCTTTTATAGCGCCTCTTATATATATTAAAATGCTCTTTTATAAGGGAGCTTTAAATAGCTTTAGAGTTAAGTATCTATACGTAGATAAGCTTTATAGTGTATTCTAGGATACTATTTTAAATAGAAGGCTTAGTAGGAGAGCTAGGGAGTAAGGGACTTTATAGAATAGTTCTGATTTACTCTCTTCCTATAACCTTAATACTACCCTAAGGAAAAATTAAGGGCTGAAAAACGGGAGTAGTGGGTAGAGAATATACGTGTTGTGGAGGGTATACTAAAGAAATACAATATGGAGAGCTAAAGAGCGCGTATATAGATACAGAGCCAATGTTCTTTATAAGTACTAGCTTTGTTGCGGTCTACATCACAAGGTACACCCTACCTTGTGCTTTGAGACTAATAAGATAGCAGAATAAACCATAGTACACCTCCGTGAGCCCCAGCGCGTTAGATGGCCCGCAGAGAGTCATCACTCGCGACAGCACCCGCCCCTTCACCGGGAGTAGCAGCCCTGTTTGGCATCAGTCTACACGACCGGCAATCGAAAGACGACAGCAAGTACTCAACACGAATCGCTTCGCGCTACTTGCAACCAAGGACCAAGGAGCGACGGCCCCCTCGCCGATGTTGAAGTCCTGATTGCAGACCAAACCCAACTCGACACACGCGCGAGCGTTCTACGCGCGTACTCACAGTCAATCGCACAATGCGCCGAACAATTTCCTCGGGATACGGGGAAGTATCCGTCTCTCAGTCCTAACAGAAAGACTACCATAAGTACTCCGTACATATAAAATACCTACCTAGAGGGCTCTAAGAGTGCCTTTAAGAGTGCCTCTGAGAGTGCCTCTGAGAGTGCTTTTTACGCGCCTCTTATGCGCTGCCTGTAAGTGCCTCTAAAAGCGCTATAATATTGTTGTGAGATGCGTGTGTAAGAGGAGGGTGTGGAGGGGAGAATTTTGTTAGAGGGTACATGGTTTTTAGTATGGTGTCCTGCACATTCCAAAATTCGTCCTGTAAATTTTCGGGCCTCGCCAACCTCCGGCCACACCGCTGCTTTCGGTGGCGCGGAAAGCCCCCTGCGCGCACCACAACCTGAGACACCAATCTCTTTTGTATCGGCCTCGGAAAAACGTGAACCCTGGGTAGGAATTGACCGTGATAAAGCTCTGATTCCACTGGCCAACGTCGGGCTTGGTGATTCTACAGAGTACTTCTATTCGATACTGTGAAACAGTACTCAGGACCTACCTTTCCAAGATGCGGCTGCTACACGATATTTGGAACTGGATTTCACAAACGGTATCGCAACAGACAAAACAGGCATGTCCGCGTTAATTTGAACCCGCGACCTTGGACTAACTTCTCTTTCAGGTCGTGCCTAGCCACAGGGATGTGTTATGCGAAGAGTATGCCGAGTACCAATCGAGAAATGCATTCGCCGACAAATTTCCTCCGACCTTAACGGCATCCGATGGAAGACTCATTTCCAAGCTGATAACATCTACCATATCATACTACGTTACTGAACGCGTCATGATTAAGCGACAGCCACACCCTAGCGAACTCGGCATGGACATATATGGAAATCCCGTGGTAAACCCCTACATTGCCGATAGACTGCGGAATGAAGCTGCTGTGCTGCGGTATCTGCGTGCCACAACCACACTACCCGTTCCAGAAGTTCTAGATCTGCAAGAAGCAAATGGTCTTGTATACCTTAAAACGTCTTGGATTGAGGGAGCTATTGAGCTTGCCAGAGTACCTGCTGAGAGAATGGAAGCTGCTGTGACTATAGTTTCATCGCAGCTTGAATCCGAAATTCTACCTCAGTTACGCAAACTACGCTCACATCGCATGGGCAGCCCGGATGCCGATCTGCCTATTATTCCACCTGAGCGGTTCTGGGAGTGGAAAGAAAACCGCCAGTGGCCAGCAATTGCGGGCGACTACGTGTTTTGCCACATAGATCTCGATCGGCAAAATATCTTGGTTGACCCAGACACATACAAGATCGTTGCAATTATAGACTGGGAGACGGCCGGCTTTTTCCCACTAGAGTGGGAACTGCCATTCTGGAAGCAAAGCACCAAAAAAGAGAAGTTCGATTTGATTGAAGTTGCTAAAGAGAATGAGAAGGGTTTTTTCTCTAGCTAAAGAACAGATCTTTATAAAAATCACATCCAGTATGCGTATTTCCTATCTGAACCCGCTTGTCTATGAATTGTTAACCATTGTACTGTGTATATCAAGCGCAATATGCATACTCATTTCGGAACATGCTTGACAGGAGGCAGTCTTGCGCAATCACTGCTCTCGCACATAGTCCATGGATGGAAGTTGCAGCCCACACACTTCTCCCGGGAGTTGGCCGGGAGAAGTGTCTGGCAATGCATGCAGTTTTTTGGGGGGGCCATATTGTCTCTTAAAATGTCAAGAATGGAAACGTGTATTGCCTGGTTGCAAAACTGGCTATCATAGCTGACCTCTGCTCTATATTTATAGCTGAACTCGCAGTACGTTGCCCGCCACGTCGGCAAACAACAGTGTTGTTTCCCGGTGAATAGCCTTCCTTTTTCATCTCACGCACAGTTTTCCCAATAACTATGCGTACGCCTTCCTGATATGCATGCACACAGCCTTCAATCCTCCCACGCACAGTTTCTATAAAAGCTGTGCGCACACCCTAGCCCCCACCTTGGGAGGAACAACCTAACCCGTCGGACATGGCGCACAGCTTAATAAAGACTAGTAAGGAGCCAGAGAATATCGGCCACTTAGAAGTAACTACTAGATAGCGTATTAAGGAGGCTAGCCTTTCCTGCCTTACCACTCCGACGTTATATGCACGCCCCCCATGCATACCTTCTGGACGAGAACTGCCAAAACTGTGCGTCCGCCGCTCCCTCCCTTTTCCGATGAAATTTCCCACAAACAGTTCTGCACCTACGCACAACTTTCACTCATTCTGTGCTCGCGAAGCTTGCCACACTATAGTTTGTACAATTCTCTCCACCCCTACCGTCGATAAGCCAACCTGCCATCTTGATATTGATGACATAAGGCGCAAGCGGGACATTCGGTGGCCATGGCAGATAACGCCATGACGAACATGATGACTGATTTGGGGGCTTTTTTTTTTGCGACGAGCAATCCATCAGAGAAGATAGCTGCAGCAATCCTGGAAATAACACAGTGGCGGCACTTGGCTGACACGCTTCAGAGGGCAAAAAATGAATCTCCCACTCGGCAGATAAAGGAAAGAGCAGCTCGTTTGGGGGCGTGGATCAACGAAGGGGAAACGCGGAATGATCCGTTTGTCCAAGAGGTGAAAAAACTCAGCTTTAAAGAGCTCATATACTTTGCAAAATCGTACCACGTCAAAATCAGGAGCAGCTTCAAGGCCGCGCATCTCAATACTTTTATGAAGGCACACGGTCTAACACATATCGACACGCAGGCGCTCGCATTCGTGGAAACTGCTGCCAAGAGAATCGGTGGTAGCTTCTTGGACATCTATAATGCAGCAAAGCTCTTCGGTAATGCACTCGACAATACCATCTGTTCAGGGACGACGGCCTCTTCTCCAGGGCTTTACCTCACAACACTTCCGTTGTTCACCAAATCCGCGGTTATCCCGCTCTTCCACAAGGACGCGATAAAAATGATGGAGACGGACAAGTCTTGGGGCAATGGTACCCTCGCTTGCAATGTCAAGATGCATCTTTACACGGGAGTGGCGGAGATGCTCATCGATGTACCGATAGGCGTGGATCCACGAAAAATCAAGATTTTTCCCACAAATGATGTATGGGGCAGGATTCATTATGAGAAGCGCGATACTATCGTGTTAATAACGGACGATGCAAGGATTAGGCATGGCTTAGCGTCAACCTCATTAGGTTTTCAACGAACCAGCTGACCTTCAAGAACGTTTAACATTCATTGCTAGAATCTCCAAAAAATCATCCTTCTGAACTGAAATGCTACCAAGTTTCCGCAGCTCCTTGTCTGGGATGTCTATATCATTCAGCCTGATCCTAAAACTCGTAGACATAGGGGACGGGTGCGTCCACTCTAGTATACCCTTCTTTCCGACCTTAAAATGACCGTGCACCACAACTTCGTAATAGTCTTGTATCGAGTCTTCAAAGGACTCATATCCTTCCTATAGAAAGAGGTTAAACATGTCTCCGAGTGTGAGGAGGGCTAGTACTGAACCTTCATGACGCTCTGTCGGAGACACTAACTTGCTCACAAGTTAGAGCAGAGAGCGTTTGAAATCGGAATACCTTCGCCGGCTTGGGCAGACGCGACACGAATGCTGAATTTATTTATGCAGATATTAGACAACGCTACCTTGATGACTTTGTAGGGTAGAAAAACCCCGTGGCAACTGCGGCCAGCGTTGGCGGCGCACGTGATGGCATAAATTCTCATGAATTATGTAAGCAGGCTAATATAGATATTAGATAACTAGTTATAACTAAGAGTAATTTTATATAGTAGAGTTAAAGAATAATATATATTAGAACTTATAGCTATTTTTACCTTATTCTTTCTTAACTAAGAAGGGAAATTCCTCTCTTTTTATACCTATTTTCTAGCCTAGCTAATTAGCCTAATTATACTCTTTTAGTATATCTTTTTATTACCTAATTCTATTAGTAATTAGGATTAGTTTCTTTAAACCTAACTTCTTTATTTATATACTACTATCCCTTTTTAGCTTTCTATTATAAGTAGGTCTTTAGTTAATTATATATATTATAATCTTTATTTAAATTATAATATATTCCCTAAGTAGATTTCTTCTTCTTTTACTTATACTACCTTAAAGAAGTATCTTAGAATTTAATTAAAAATAATATTCTTTAATAAATTAATCCTTTATAACTACTTTTATTAAATTAAAGAATATTTAAATTCTTTATATATATAGTTCTTTTTAATCCTATTATAATTACTTTATCCTTTTTTTCTTTCTATATTTACTAACTTACCTATATTATTTTCTTTAATTATTTAAAAGTAAAGTAATAATAGCTTTAATAGTATATTACTTTTTAATAATATAATCTTATTATAATATATAAAGTAAGATACTTCTAATAATTATATAAAAGTATTTAAACTACTCTTAATTCTTTAGAAGGCTAGTTTCTTTTCTTTTATTTATTATTTTTAATATACTTTATTTTTATTCTTTTTTTACTTATAAAAAAACCTTTAATCTTAATAATATTCTTAACTTTAAATATACTATTTCTATTTTAAAGTATTTATAAGGTATTAATAACTTAAATCTAGTAAAGTAGTCTTAACTTTTAACTTCTATAGAGGTTTAAAAGGTAAATAGTATATTTATTATATTTAATTTTAAAAGTATATATTATTCTTTTTAATTATTTTATTTTTTACTAACTTTTAATCTTAATAATATAGACTTAAATAATATTATTATATTATTCTTTACCTCTTTAGGCTTAAATAATATTAATAACTATTCCCCTATCCTTAGTTTAGTTAAAAAGAATACTTAAGTATTTTTAAAAACCTAAAAAAAGTTTATAACTATAACTTAAACTACTATATATACTTTTAGTAGTCTTTATAAAGTCTTATATATAATATATATATATTCCCTTATAAGAAACCTTTAAAGTTATAAGTATTATTATATTATAACCTTAATTAATACTATTTCTCTTTATTATAGTAAGCTAATAAGTTACTACTTTAAATATTATATAAAAAGAACTTAGTATTAGGCTATTAAGTTTATACTTCTTTTCTATCCTTTTATTCTTAATTATATTTTAATTAAGTCTTTTAAGAATCCTTTCTTTTTATATATTCTACCTTAACTTCTAGCTATAAAAATTAACTTTTTAAATAATCTTAAGGCTATTAGTTTTTTAATTATTAATAAAATAAATTCCTTTACTTCTATATTATTAAAAATTATAAAAGAGCTTATAATTAAGGCTCTTTTTACTAAATAATACTAGACTTTAGTAAGTCTTAAGGCTTATAAAAAGGAATAGAATTCTACTTAAACCTTTTTTAAAATAATAGTAACTATAAGTAAGTATAAGTCTTTTAGCTTATTTTATAAATATAAAATTATATTTAATACTTATTTAACTAAATTAGAATAGTATAAAGCTATTATAAATTATTTAGTAAAAAATCTTACTAATAAATAATAAGATTATTTTATACCTTTCTTATATCTTTTATCCCCCTTTTTTCTATTAGTATTTAAAGATACTATTATTAGGTTTTAGTTTAAATTAAACTCTTATTACTTTTAAACTTTATAATCCTAATTAAATCTTAAAAATAAATAAATAACTATAATAGTAGGTTCTTTATAAATCTATCTACTAGTATATCTTTTATTAGAAGATATAATACCTTAAATAATCTATATTAATATTCTTATTAAAGCTATAAATAATAAATATTAATATATTATAATTTAGTATTAATTCTTTAATTTCTAGCTATAATTAAATAAATTATTTATTAATTATTATAGAAAATTTTATAGGGTAGTTTAAGAATAATATTTATTTTCTAAAAAAGATATTTAAGTATAACTATTTCTTTTATAGTATTCTAAAGAGCTAATAACTTAGCTTTTATAGTAGAAGTTATTATTATACTTTAATATAATACTTTCTAAGCTATAATTCCTTTAAAAAGGATTATAATAAATCCTTAACTAGATCTCCTTATATCTAAATTATTAATATATAAGGTATTACTTACTATTTATAAAATAATTACCTCTTTATTCTTACTATATATAATATAATAATCCTTAATATTAAGAAGATACTAAATAATATAAATAGCTATATTAAAATATATTTAAGATAGGTTTATTAAATAATAAGATAGTATTAATACTATAAATATAATATCTACTCTTATTATAATTAATATATATAGGATTAATTTAATAATTTCTTAGTATCTTTTTACCTTTCTTAGTATTACTTATCCTATTCTTTTAGTAAATTACTACTATAATAAAGGAGTTTAGACTTAATTAGGATTAGTTACCCTAAACTTAGCTATAATCTTCTTTATATATACTTTATAAGAGAGCTATACTATTTTCTTTTTTTAGTTATAAATAATCTTAA